AATGGAACTGGGTAGAGATTTTTATACCTCTGTACCTTTCCCTCCATCCTTCATTTCCAACCACTCCAATCCATTCCTTCCACATTCTGTTTTTCAGATGTTTCTGTCTCAGCCACCAGTCCAGATTGGTTCGCCACAGGGCGGTATACAAATTATTATTATTATTATTATTATTATTATTATTATTATTATTATTATTATTATTACTATTACTATTACTATTATTATTATGTTAGCAATGAACCACACTGAGTTGGTTTTGGGGTCCCCTTCTTGGTTCATGCTTCACACAAGGTTTTTTTGTTGTTGTTATTGTTGTTTTGGTTTTTGACTTCTGAAAACCTTAGGGTTACCCTGAGTCTGCCAATACTTTCTTCTTGTGAGTGGCAATTGTTATTTTGATCACATCAGCAAAAATTGAGAGACCTAAATAGGAATAATAAAACTGGGTGGCAACATGTGTGGGTCAAAACATGTGGTTTCTACCCACAGAAAGTCCAACTTCAAAATATTCCTTTCTCCCATCATAATAGAAGTAGTGTGGGATTGGATCACACCTCTCTTTCTCATTCCTTCTAGGAAAGTATTAATACATCTTGGGGGAGCTTTACTTTCCAGAGTTATCATACCACAGGTCACACCAAATATTCTATGGAATGTAAGCATTCTCAAAATAATACTATTAAAAGATTTTTAAAATCATTAATTAACACTCCCTTGGTCTTACAAAATAGTATGTATGGGAAACAGGTGATTTCCCACAAAGCAGAGCAGGAAACCTATAAGAACAGGAGACAAAGATTTTAGGCAAATAGCCAGCAAACTGCTCTGAACAAGAATCAGGAAATGGTAAGTTTGGCTTGGCTGTGTGTTGCTTCCCTCATTCAATGTACAGTTTTCTGAAAAGACTTCTTAGTAATTGTGCCAATTAAACCAGTTTCTCATGTATCAAGGGTTCAATTAAACTGTTTCTAATGCAGTATAGAATATACGTGTAGGAAGGATCCAAGCTGTGTAATACATTTTCCGAACAATACATAGCTAGAGAGAAAAGTGTATTTCAATCTCTTTCCATAGATCTGAAATATGTATACCTTGCCTTTTCAAAGTCAGCTAACAAGGGCATAAATCACCCCAATAACCATACTGAGAGGATTAATTCCTAAAAATATTTTTTCAAAAAAATCAAAGAATTAAAGCATCAAGACAGAATTAGTTGTCAAAAGCCTAAGCAAATAATGTCATTTTTACTTTCTGCCTGAAATATAACAAAGAATACCGTAACTCTGGGGAGGGCATTATAACATCTGGGTTGCCACCAATGAGAAGACCCTGTGTTTCTAAAGGCCACCTATGGTAGGGCCTCCATGGATTTCAAAACATTTGAACTCATATTATCTTTAATCCTGAAACAACAATCAACTGTTGTACTGGCTAAGGGTCAAACTAGATAGATAGGATGTTCATTACATCAGTTGACCATGTGTAAATGACTTTTTAAAAATAAACAGCTGGTGCAGAGGAAGGTTGAATTTGTATGTTTTTTAATCCTTTGCTCTAACACAGTCCTAATAGGAATCAGTCCTCCCTTCAGCAGAAGGGAGGAAGGAAGGCTCTCACTGCCAATGACAGTTTTCCTTCCATGGCAAATAGCAAGTGTGGATGGATTGGTTCTGCAATTGGGTATCAACAGTAAGAAACCCCTACACCTGACTATTACTTGGTTCAGGGTTCCTAAAGAATATCCACGTGAATGCATCTAAACATGCTGTTCAGCTCTCACATTCATACATAATGATGGGGATACAATGGCTTGGACAATTCTAATTTTAGTGTTTAGTTTATATTTTGACTCTTTATATGATCTTCTCTAGATACTTTATAGCTGCCCTACCCATTCCCAGTCTTCTGATTTCCTTACTGTGGTCTCCATTCTGATCATTATTTGATCCAAGGTTACATTCATAGAGTATTACCCATTTTGACAACTGTCTTGCTATGTATGTAGTATACTGCAAATACTCAAAGGGGGTGAGTAATGATTGAGTTGAACCAAATGAATCTCTCCTACTAACCAACACCACAATAGTTACTGTTGTGTTAGCTGCTCTTTGTACTGCCACAACTCTATGAGCTCACAGCCAATCCAAACATGCAGAAAGATTAAATTAATATAAATATATGTAAATAGCATCTCACAATTAGGGGTGTCATTAAGGAGTGGGGGCAACATGAGAGAACTGTCCCCAAATAAGAATTATGCCCTCACCCAAAATGAAAAATTTCCTTCACTCCCCAAATTTCTAGCATTGCAGATAAACTGAAAATAATTCACACCTAGAACTCCTACGTTTGATTTGTTTGTGTTCACTTAGTATCTTTGCCTGTCCCCCCCCCCCTTTTTTTTTTTTTTTGGATGCCTATACTGTGTTTTTAAATGCTCAGCTGATGTTTCTAATTAATGTAGGTTTACAGAGGATTAATTGGGACTGCCCCTGTCAAATCAGCACAGTTAGAGGGTATGAGATTTCAAACACAAATAGGTAAACTCAATGAATCCTAGTGCTGATCTCTGATAGGGAATCGGATAGTTTTATTCCTGATCGATGCAGACAAAACCTAATGTTGCTCAGGGACCAAAGAAAAATCCTGCAGAGAAAAAGAGAGAGATGGACTCATTCATAAATCCAGTGGCACCTGGTAAAAGACCAGCTGGCCAGTTACTAACAATATACAGATTATGGGGAGTCTTGTTTAATGTCGGCAAACATTATTACAGAGCCTGACTCTGACCTCAGCCATGGATGTCTCACTGTGAAACATGATGTAATGGAAGGTGTATTAGCAGATTGTCTTTCTATCTCCTCCCAACCTCCCAGGGGCTAATCAAACTACTGAAAAGACTGCACTCATGGGTGAGTGTATGTGCATATATAAAATAAATGTTTAAAAAGCACTGACAACATCATTATAATCATTACACTATTTTGAAAAGAATCCTGGCTTGTAGCAGACACAGGATACATGATTCATATGATAAAAGTTCAAGGTGCCAATCTGGGTGCAGAAAGGGGTAACCTTTGTGTCTCTTTTAAAAGCTAGACTGCTTACCCACTAAGATGTTTTTGACCCAAGGGGTTTAGATACTGAAACTGGAAAACCAGGCTGGAAATGTCTGAAAATAATTTTAAAATGGCCTTAAAAAGTAATTCCCAAGTGTTGGGAAATGCTGATAGAAACCTACACTGGCGAGAATATTCACAGTTCAGCAATTATTCTGCACAAAATTTGCTTGCCTGTGTGGAAAACAATATTCTGTGCAGAAAACAGTGACAATTTTGCAAAAGAATGAGTAGCAAGCAGATTTTTTTTTTCCTGAACAAAAACGCTAGGTGTGAATTTAAGTCCCAAATTGCATATAGTTTTTTTTAAGACTTTCTCACAGTGAGAAGAAAGTGCTAAAATTACTTGTTGTGTCCTTTGAGAATGAAACTGGTGAAGAACAATATCCCTACCAGAAAAGTATGTGCTTTTCACTAATTTAATTAGGATCAAACTGATACCAAGTTAGCTCATTCCTGGCATCTCCTATTAAAAAGGTTTGGAGAGGTGATGAACAAGATCTCCATCTGCCAGTCAGAGTAGACAATACCAGCATAGGAAAACCGACCATCTGATACAGGATAGGGCAGATTCTATATTCCTATACTATTTTCCCCTTTAGTCATTTCTATAAAGGAGCAGGAAGATTGAATGCACAAACTTCGATCACATTATGTTTCCCATGTGAGTCAGTGAGCACACCAGACCATGGGCATTGGGTTTACCAGTGCTATGTTCAATGTGATGCTAATTATTTTGTTTTGGAAGCAGAGAACTGGGGTAACACCACTATCCCTTTTCTCCCTTTTTTATTGACTCAGAATTTCATATTTAATTACAGAAGAGGAATTTTATGGCATGCAAAAGTTTGTTTCCTGCATTTGACAGGAGTCTGATATGGAGTACTGCCTCACTTGTTCCAACTACAGCCTTTGCAATAAACCCCAAATCTTCCATATTTTATGTTTCCATTATATATTTTTAAAAGGGATTGCTCCTGTGATGTTTAGGTCCATTCTTCAGCAACCGGATGCTAGCTGCATGGGCTGAAAACAAGTAGGCAACCTTTCATCAAAAACCACACAATATAATAATTATGCTAAGTGCACTGTGGTGAGGAGGGGGAAAAAAGGAATAGGCAGGAGGCTGTTGTAACAAAGGAAATGCACCATGTAGCAACACGTGGAATCCATTAAAAGGTTTTTCCATTAATATGAGCTTGTGAGAGTTCCCCCAATAGCTGGCATAAGAATTTGATCTTCACTGTGACATGACGTAGATATTTTGCATCCTGTAGTGATGGTGGTGGTAGAGTCAATGCTTCGGTGAGCAGAATCAGAAATGAAAAGGTTGAGGTGAAACCATGATTTGCAAGCTTGAAAATCAGGAAACCTCAGTGTGCTGCTCTTGGTGACACACAGGTATTCCACCTACACCCAAGACTTGTGATATTTTATTACAGCTTCATCTTCCCACATATGTGCTGAAAAGCCAAACTGGTGTTTTCAGTGAAGTGAAGGCACTCGTAATTAACCACCCCAGTTCCCTGTGCTCAGTGCAATCCGATATGGTTCAGCAAAGCACTGCAAAAGGACATGGGGAGGTGGAGGATGTGATTGTGAATCATTATGTCATTTTTCATCCAGTATTGGAAGAGTAGAAACTGATGGTGCCTTGCCTCCTAAAACAAAAGGGATAACTTGCCAGCCAGAATAAGCGTGAAGTGCATTTTCCTGGGAAATTGACAGGTTTGGTTTTGTAGTGAGTTGGACCTCGGCCACCAGGCAGATGGGTTTTGGAATCCATGTTGTCAACATGGCCAACTGGTAACAGCTGTCCAGTGGCAAGAAAGAGTCAATTTGTATATGTGACCTTGTAAAATTCTTTTTAAAAAGGCAGACAGTGTGGCTTAGTAGGTAGAATGTTTGACTATGACTCTGGAGACCAGGGTTTGATTCTCCACTTGGCCATGAAACCCACTGGGTGACCTTGGGCAAGTCACATGCTCTCAGCCTCAGGGGAAGGAAATGGCAAACCTCCTCTGAATAAATCTTGCCAAGAAAACCCCATGCTTTTGGGTCACCATAAGTCAGAAATGACTTGAAGGCACACAACACACACACAATACTTTTTTGCATTAGCTTCTGCACTACACAGTGGGCCTTCTGGATCCTCAGGCTCCAGATCCACAAATTTGACTGATAGTAGACATAATAATATGTTTGGGAGTCCAGTTCTACCACTGGTTGCGAGGGGATGCTGGATCACATCAAAGAAAGGGCTGGAAAGCTTCTCTGCTCTATACCATCTGCTACATCATTCACCACCAATGATGATTACTATTATAGCAGTAATGCGTGTCAGTGTTCAGTATGAAAAGAACTGGGAGGCCTGGATCTACACCCAGTTCTTGCAGAGAACAGATTGCAACTGGTAGAGCATGAATGAGAATCTATGAATTGCTTGAAAAAGGGAAGCAAGTTCTCTGCCAGAACTCACAGCCATTACAGCAGGAGGCACACCCATCCCTAAAAAAGATATGAAAAGCAAGATTTCTTCTTGACTACTGCCTGGTCAAATTTTTTGAAATTTTAGAAGGAAGAACAAGAAGCCAAATTGGTGACAAGAGTTGAATTTGGAACAGGCCTCATCAAAACAGCACACAAAAGACTTCTGCAGTTAAACAGAAAGTATGTCAAATACTTTGTCTGAAGCTATGTTGGCCCTCTCCCAAGATCCCTCAGCTTGCAGATAAAGACTATCTTATTCTGTAGGCAGATATTTAGCAAATGACTGGCTACTGAAAGGAGGATTTGCTGGATTTTCCCTTTTTTCTTCCTGGTGTACTTCAGAATTTGCTTTTCACCTGATATTTTAATATGATTAATTGGTTTAATATTACAAGTTGAATATCCCTTATCTGAAATGCTTGGGATGAGAAGTGTTTTGGATTTTTTAAGATTTTGGAATATTTGCATATACATAATGAGATATTTTAATTTGCATACACATAATGAGATTGGGACTGAAGTCCAAATATGAAATTCATTTATGTTTCATATACACCTTATACACATAGCCTGAAGGTAATGCTATACAATCTTTTTTAATAATTTTGTGCATGAAGCAAAGTTTGTGTACACTGAAGCACTGAACTTGTGGCATCATGTCAGCACATTTCAGATTTTGGATAATTTCAGATTTTGGATTTTCAGATTAGGGATGGTCAACCTGCAAAACAAAATTGTATTTTTTAGCTACTGTATATCTGCTTCTTAATCATGTCAAGAACTACCTTGAGTTGAAGTCGTGGGTTGAAAGAATAGCATAAAATCTGAAATAAACCAAAATGATAAATGATCGTATTGGAGAATGGAGATGAGCCAATTTGCTTATAGCCACTGCCACAATCTGTTTGCCAGCCTATTTGCTTTCTGTAATGGGGAAAACTAGAGGAATGGAGCTGCTGTACAGATGAAGACTGTAAGCAATTTAGAACCTCTGCTTCAGACATTCCTTGGCATGCAGTCTGGCTAGGGAGGGCTTGAATTTTATTTTGATTTATTTTTGATAAAAATTTACCAAAAGTCACACATTACTTTATATTTAGGATGTAAAGAACTGAGGTAAATTTGAATCAGAGCCCAAAACTCATAGACTTGTTCATTCCAATCCTGAGCTTTGCATGATTGATCCTTACAAGTTTGGCTTTGAATTCCTGCTGATTTAAGGTTGCCTTTTCTTGTCAAGGGGCTTCTCATTTTTAACATCTATATGGCTTGTTGTTGTTTGCCATCAAGTTGACTATGCCTTATGGCAACCATATGAAAGATAGCCCATTCAAGTCAATCTGTTATCAACAACCCTGCTAAGTTCTTGCAAACCCAGGGTTGTGACTTCCTTGACTGACTCTATCCAGCTGCCTTCCTAATGCTTTATCAACTATTATAATCTTTTCCAATGTGTCACATTATGTCATGATATTTTCAAAGTACAACAGTCTCAGTTTAGTCATCTTGGCTTCAAGAGAAAGATGAGGTTTGACCTCCTCTTGGACCAATCCATTTATCTTTTTGGCAGTCTGAGGTATCTGTAGATCTCTCCTCCCATAACACATTTCAAATGGGTTGATTCTCTTCCTATCAGCTTTCTTCATTGTCCAGCTTTCACAACCACACATTGAAATTGGAAATACAATGGAATGGACAATCCTGATTTTGATATTAAATTGTATATCTTCACACCTGAAGAATTTGTCTAATTCCTTCATAGCTGCTCTTCCAAGTTCTAGGTGCATCCATACTACAGCATGGCTCCATATTACAGAATCCTAGAATTTGTAGTTTGTTGTGGCACAAGAGCCATCTGACAGAGGAGGCTAAATGTTGCCCAGAACTAGCAATCCCAGAATTCCATAGTATTGAGCCACAACAGTTAAAGTGGTGTCAAACTGGATTATTTCTTCAGTGCGGATGCAACCCAGGACTTCTGATTTCTTGACTAAAGTCTGCATTTTTATTTAGGACTAAGCTAAGTCATATGGAATCTTTTTTAACTATTTCAGTGTCTTCATCAACTACTTTAAAGTTATGTAATCAGCTGTGCCCATTAATTTTGTTGGCAGGTAGCTACAATATGGTTATCTCCCTGTTAGAAATAGTTATAGCATTAGGTTTGCCTTGGGTTCTATATTGGGAGAAAGGCAGGACAAATAAATAAATATATCTGAAATAAATAAATAAGTCTAAAACCAATTTTTAGTCCCAACTAGAGCTAACCCATTGAATCAATGAATTTAAGTGACTGTTGACTTGCCATGCCCACCAACATCTCACAGATGAAAACCAGGACACAAGTAGACAAGCAACATCAGAGACTGTTCAATGTGGCAAATATTATTAATAAGGAAGAACACACGTTTACCAAATGTTAGTATAATAAAATGTAAAATATCAAAATAAAAAAATTAGTGCAGTTTGACACAACTTTGATTGCTGTAGCTCCATCTTATAGAATGCTGGGATCTGTAATTTTACAAAGTCTTTAACCTTCTCTTCCAAAGAGTGCTGATGCCTCACAAAATTACAAATCCCAGGATTCTGTAGGATGGAGCCATGCCAGACAGAGGTGTCAAACTGCATTATTTCTACTGTGTAGATGCACCCTTGGGGAGGTTGCAGCAGTTTAGTTTTGGCTATACTTACAGAGAAGGGCATGATCCTGCCTCCTCCTGTCTGCTCCCCCTGCTGAGTTAATTGAATGCAAACTACTTTGCATTTTTAACTCAGTTTGTAGCAACTGGAGTAAGCTGAGGACTAAAGTGGGGAAGTGGGAAAAGGAGAGAGAAACTGGGAGATTTTAAAAACAGCCAAAGAAGTTGGATGTCATCCAAATCAGGGCAGTTGGATGGTATATTACTCTAGTTGGGACTAACAGTTGGATTTAGGCCCCCGAATACTGCTGGTGCAAATGGTGGAGAACTCAGATTGCTAAAGTTGTTCAATTTACCAAAATCTGCATATATTTCTTCATATATGAGGTTAAAAGAACCTGAGGGCTTTAAAAAAAATACAAGTGTGGCAACAAGTAAAACAGAGAGATTATGGGGCTAAGCAGACGGGCGGCCAGGAAGCTGCGGATCGGGGCCAAGGTATCTGCATACCTCGGCCCCGCGGCACAGCGTCCCAGCCCCAGGAAGGAGCGCTAAAATAGCGCTCCTTCCACAAGAAACCGAAGGTGCATCACAAAAGGCTGCCGGCACACCTTTGGCGCCTCTTCCGCTGCAGCATGTGCGGATGCTGCGGCGGACAGGCATCCTCAGAGCGCCGGCCGTGCGGAGGGTCCGGCGCTCCAACGATTCCTTCAGGAAGAGGTTGGGGCGCCCAGAGTGTGGCTGCCCCTCCCCTTCCTTGCCCTGAAGACGGCGCTTAACACCGTCTGCTTCCCCCATTTGTCAGCTCTAGGCAGAATCAGAGACAACGGAGCAAGGTTCACCAAGAGAGCAGAATAAGATATTGTTATCTTACTCTTTTTTTAAAAAGTGCATCCATCACATTTTCAGTATCACATTTAAAAAAAAAGTGTCATCATACATCCAGGAAGTGTCAAAAAGGCACAAGGGGGAAGGGAGGCAGTCTTATAGAGGCAGTCTGCAAAAACAAAAATGCTTACCGAAGAGGAAAGTCAGCTTACTATGGAAAATCAATGTGCTTTTGGGATAACTGCCAGCACAAAAGAAGGAGCCAAGGAAGGAGGAATGTTACACTGTTCAGACTATCCTCTTCCATCAAAAGAGAAGAGAATGGAGAAATGCTTTGTTCCCCAAACTGCTGACTCAGTGATAACCAGAGCTGAAGATTACAAAGTAGGCTGCTCTTGCCCAAACTAATGTCAGGACGGTGCATTGACTGAAAAAAGCAGCTTCCAGGAGGAGATGTGTTGAGATGAAATAAGACAAGAGGCCAGTGCCAAAACTTAGAGGCAATGCAAAAAGAAAGAGAAGGAGGGATGACAGCATTGCTAGAACAGTTAATGGAACAGTTGGAACCAACTCTGTATTTCTTTTTTCCTCTCTTCAGCTTTATTGACATGTAGAATTACCATTGCAGTATGCCTGGCTAGCAATAGCAAAAACACATATACATCAGTGTGGAAATCCAGTGGTCATCTTGATCAAGGGAGGATGGGACCAACCATCAATAAAGGGATTTATAAGGCAACTGCCCCCGACCTGGTGCTCTCCTGATGAGTCATCTACTACAAATCCCAGGATCCCAAGGCATCCCTATGGCCAGTAGGATGATGGGATCCAAGTCATCTGGAGGGTATCGCTTTGGGAAGGGCTGTTATAAGACTTTTCAGAGAAACCTCCTATCACTGACCATGGGGCAGGTGTATGTGTGTACAAGAACATCGTCCGACTTATGGTGACCCAAAAAATTTCCAATGGTATTCTTAGGCAAGGTGTACT